CCCCCCCCCCCCCCTGTTCTCGCCCTTGCCTGGCCGCCTGGGGCAATCCTTCCTGTGGCATCTCCCTCGGTCCCTTCTCTCGCCCCCTCGTTGTCGGTCTTTCGCGCTTTTTTCCCCCCGCGGAGGATCGTGAGAAGGGCAAAAAACGAGGGTCTGGCATTCCTCGCCCTCCCGGGTGCACGAATGTCCCAGACTGGCGTATGCACGCATGTATGGCGGCGGCGGCGGCGGTGGCGGTGGCACTGGAGGCCGGGGGGCCGGCCGGGAGTCAGCCTGGCCCGGTCCGGGCCCTGCCCCACGCCGAAGGCCGGGCAGAGATCTCGACTGTTGGCCGCCGCGGCGGGCCGGCGAGAAAAGAGCCCCTCGCCGGCCGATGTCCCACCCCATGGCTGTGCACATCCCCCCCCGCCCCTCCCCTACACGAAGCCCCGCCTCACTTCCCTCCCCCTCCCTCCCCCCTCCCCCCTCCCCTCCCCTCCCACCCACACCAGCACCCACCAGCCACCCTCACTTCACCATGTGGATTTTCGGCAAGAAGGAGACCCCCGAGCAGATGGTCCGGCGGTACCAGCGCGCGCTGGACCGCTCGATGCGCGAGCTGGACCGCGAGCGCGCCAAGCTCGAGAACCAGGAGAAGAAGCTCATGGCCGACATTCGGCGCTTTGCCAAGCAGGGCCAGACCGTGCGTGTCCTCGGGTGCCTCGCCCGCCCCTTCACCTAGGATGCCAGGGTATTTGGATGGTTCCTTTCTCACCACCCCTCTTTCCTCCGCCCGCGTTTGCAGAAGACCTGCCAGATCATGGCCAAGGACATCGTCCGGACCCGGCGCTACGTGCAGAAGTTCATCCAGATGCGCACCCACCTCCAGGCTGTCAGCCTGAAGATGCAGGTACGCCGCTATCAGATGCCGGTTGTCGGGCGTCTCTACGCGTGTGGCCGCCGCTAACCGACCCCCCCCCCCCCCCCTTGATGGAACCAGACCATGCGTTCAACTCAGGCCATGGCGCAGGCCATGGGCGGCGTGACCAAGGCCATGCGCTCGCTCAACAACAACCTCAAGATGCCGGCCATCCAGAAGATCATGCAGGACTTCGAGCGCGAGTCCGAGATGATGAGCCACAAGGAGGAGATGATGGGCGACGCCATCGACGACGTGCTGGATGAGGATGGCGATGAGGAGGAGGAGTCCAACCAGATCCTCTCCCAAGTCCTCGAGGAGGCCGGCATCTCCATCTCCGAGCAGGTGCGCGTGTTCTCCCTGGCCCTTTTCTTGCTTCTGTCATGTCGTGCGCGGGGGG